TTTAATCAACAGCCCTTAGAATTCATTCGCAAATTTGAATAACGGGGTCCACTGCTAGTCATCACGAAAGGGTTGTTTTGCCGCAGCTCACTTGTAAAAAAGACTATCTTATATTACACTATTGCCATTATGAAATGTGGTTTTTTTACTTGTGGATTACTTTTTGAATAGAAAATTATCATTAAATTTATTTCTTTATTTACTTAATTTAATTTTAATGGTGTATGAAATAATATCAATCTGAGGCACAAAGCAAAGACACTATTTTTAATGAATTAAGATGTAACGTACCTGCGGGTAATAAGGCCTTAAGGGTGAGTGGACTAATACGGTCCAAGTAACAAAAATCGTATTTATACGAGTATTAACCGCTCTCGCTCAAGGAGATAACAACAGACTCCTATTACCTTCGATCAACAATACCATCAGTTGATCGAAGCCTATTACACGATATTGTCTCTGCAAGTTTGCAGAGACGCGCTACACCGCGTCCTGCCACCAGAAATGCATTATTTATCATAAGATACGACCGCACTGCACCAATAATAAAAATCAGTCCAAATAAATATTAGATATGTTTTGTAATATTTTCACTTAGCTATCTAAAATCGTAATCTTTAACTTTGTGAATAAATGCCTTGTTGATTTGAATAACGTATCGTCGTCGATTTTTTCTTAATTTGGTTTTTCTTAAATACTTGGACGGTGGTTCTTAAGGCCTACAAAATTTCACTATAGGCCTTATTATACTCCCTCTATGTGTGTATCTTTTTTGTTTTGTAATGTGTTTTATAAGTATTACTTTTAAATCGTTATAAATGCAAATAAATCGTACGCTTTTATTACTAAACTAATGTCGAAGCCAGAAAACGACCTGGTTTCAGCTGTCCAAACAGTGCAAAGAGAAAGTGCAGACAAAGTGTGTCGAAGAATTAAGGCTTTGAAATTAGAAGCTATGAAATCTATATGTGTAAATTATTGGTCCTGCGCTTAAGCTCTCTCGGACCGTGTCGGATAGCGATATAATGATTGAGGGAACAGAGAGTGCACCTGTGCTTGCACATACATTCGGACACTATAATTCTGTACTGTGCAGATAAGCTAGTTTCTGTGGAGACTAAAAGACAATTAATTATTGACTGAAGTAAAGAAAATAAACTTAAGTCAATAATTAATTGAATTATAGCTTTGATAACGTCACTGAAATTCTCTCACCCTTTGTGTTAACTACATCAAATCCCTTTAACTAAGGTTAAGTCCTTTGTGGTGTGTGGTAAGGTGAAAAGGATAAGTCCTTTTCATAATAAAAATGCTTCTCAATGAAATCTAAGTCTCCAATTTTGCTTCAAAGGTATGTAAGACTTGCAGAAACCGAACTTCGTCGTAGGCGACTAAGCTAAAATTTTTGAGAAAGCCTGCCGCAGCCACAATTAAACGATTTGCATAGCAATCGCACGCCGTTGACTCAAACGGGCGCCCTATCACGTTTTTACGCCTCTTTGTATGCTTTTGCATATTGTGTGCGGTGCGGTTAGACCGGCTCCGGGGGCGGCCTCGTGACTACATGCTGTGTGTGAGAACGTTACAAAATCAGGAATTATACATTAAAAATTGTCTTCTATCACAATCACTATTTCATCGATTATCCTTTAGTACAGATATGTTTTTAATTAAAAATATGTATTTACACGACGTCGTAGTCTCCAGTCAGTCTAATTCAATCGACTTTGACATTGTCGCTCTTGCTTTGAAAGCACCCACATTGTCTCAGTATCAGAAGTATCTCAAATCAATTTTTCTTTCACAACTGGTAGTAAAGAAAAACATCGTGAGGAAACCTGTATGTCTAAGAAATAAAAAAAATATTTCGAAGACGTGAAGTTCGCCAACACGCATTGGGGCAGCGCGGCGGACAATTCCGTGTCCTAAAACCCTCTCAGAAATAAGCCTGTGCTCAAAGGAACGTATATAGGCTGTAATTTTACTCATTAAAGTCCTTGCACTGAAAACAAGCGTAACACAATTTTAGTTGCGTGCAATTAGTTTGCGTATAGTAATTCAATAAATTACGAATATAAATCCAATAACCAGCCGAATAGTTTTTCGTAGTAACGGATACAGGATCCGGATTAATCCTAAAAAAACATTGCAGCGTTCATAAAACAACGTACAGAGTCGGGCGCTCGTCCCGACCGGGCACTTTATTGGATTTTAGCGGAAATTTCACCGGGACACGGGGCAAAACGAGCAAGCCGTCGTTTGCGAATGACCTGCATATCGAATTTTGATTATTATTTGTGCCGAGCCAAACTGCCAACTCTGCGAATTACAATGGATACGCGAAGATGCGTAAAAAAATTCCCGCATAACTAACGTGTTTAGCTTGACGCATTATTGGCTATCTTAATCAAATTTAAGTAGTCTGTACGTACGATCCAGATATATCCTTTTTAAGTTCTTCCTTTACAATTTACGTTATTAAAATATCGGTGTAAATAGCGAAAATGTATTAAAAACGATATTTTTCAACAAATGCAAACGTTAGAAAAAATAAATATTATTTTCCTAACAACATTTTGCATCTGGATTATGATCATCCAATCATTATAATGTTTTCAGTGTCGGTATTTAATGAATACTGAGATTATTGATCAAAATAAATGTTGATATATGTATAATTTATATCGATACGTTTCGATAGTTTTGACATCCCTTAAATTAGTGTTATTATACCCTTGTCTTAGTTGACAGTATAATTATTGGATAGCTCACTAAAACTATTTTAATCAACGAAAACTAACCAAATGATCAAACAGACCAAACAATTACCACTTTACCATATAACTCTTGATCAAAGAAGACTCCGGGAGACCTAATATCCCTTTAATAAAAAACGAAACGTACACGAACGAAAAATTATCTATATTATTACTGTTTGACTTGGAATTTAAAGTTCAAATAGAGTAGAACTAACTTAACTTTGGTTCAAATCAAGCAAAGAAAATAATTCAATGCGAAATCGTGGGCATATGTTAATAAAATCTTTGGAGTCATTGTTAATAGCGGCGGTTTAAAAGAATCCAACAATAATGTTAGTAATCCAATTTCCGAGTGGCACCCGATAGATGCAGTATAACCTTAACCATTGTTTATTCATCTGGCGTAAAATATCTAAACCTGACAAAAACATCTCGTACCAGTAGGCGAAGTATGCGGTCCCTACTAGATGTAGTAACGACCTGGTAAGACATGCAAGAAGTCAGGTACGCAGGAATGCAGTTAACTCAAGACCGTGCTCTGTGGCATTCTTGGGGGAGGCCTATGTTCAGCTGTTGACTTGTGAAGGGCTGTAATGGTGATGATGACGACTAAAGAAAACGTCAGAATCATAAAAATTTTGATAATATACGATCGCCGGTCTGCATACCAAGCGTGTCGATTGTGACAAATCCTCTTGATAATATTGATAATATAGGAGATAACTATGTCTAGAGATAATCATATCGATTTGTTAGTCAATGCTTCTTTCACTGCTTCTGAAACTCGCTCCAAGTAAGCATAAAGGATACGAGAAAGAGTAAAAAAATGTGTGCTTCTCTATTTGCGTGAATATCAGAACAGTATTAAATATTACATATATGTAGAACCAGATGAAAATAGTCTTTATTAAATGATAATTTGTAAACAATAAATAACTATGAAAAATTAAAAAGTTATATTATCTAGTTAACTCTCGAAAGTAGACTAGATATTATATCGTTTTATTTTTGACGCGGATCTTATATTTATGATTCTATTAATTTCAAATTGTTCCAGATACATTATGTTTTATATTTTAATGTATTTCTCAAGGAAATTGAAGAAAGCGGACGATTATTAGAAAAAAGAAGTGAAAGTCATTACGTAAAACAATTAATTATAAGGAATCATTGCAACTTCCAGATATGCAAAGAAATGCAGCTGCCATCTTGGATTTACAATTGAGTTGCATTAAGTTGCTCTATTCTGTGCGATTTTAATAAACTTAAGCTACAAACTCGCTGCTTTGTATAAAGCTCGAGATTGTTGATGTTGCATCCGTCTGTAATCGCAAACTAACAACATTAAGCGCTTTCTGCAACTACGTAGTCAAATCACGGTGGCGCTTCTCATCGCTAATTGCTGAAAAGAGAAAACGTAATAAAAGTACAAGTCTTTGAAGCAAAGAAGCTACCACGGCGGCGCCTCGACGAAGAACATTTTAATAAATTAAAACTGCGCAAAATTCTCATTCCAATATCTATTTCCTTTTTGCTTCCGCCCCTGTGAACTTTGCTCGTCTTACATTGATTTCGTTTTATTTTATAATAAGAGAGGCTATCAATTTACTTAATACGTTGCTGGTAGTCATAGAGTAATGAAAATGTAAATGCGTTCTACATTACACATACTTATAATTTAAATTAAAACCTATGTTTAGAGTATTCAAAAAGTAACTTCGTTCTAGTAGTAGTAGTTTCAATAGTTTTTATGCAATTATTTCTTATATTGTTGCGAACACTGCACATTTAAATAAAACTAATATATATTGTTATTATGTATAAACTATAGTTTTCATGTGGTAGAGACACGTTGCAACTAGCGTAAAATAGCAATTTATTGGGTTAGTCTAGTGATAATGTAATAATAATTACAAATTATATATAATTATATATATATGTGTGTGTGTGTGTGTGTGTGTGTGTACATATATGGTAATAATTTAACGCTATAGAGCAGTCACCAAACCGGAGAACCTTTTTAATGAAAATGAGGCATTCCATCTTAGTCCTCAGAAGTGACAACGCATCTGCATCGAGGATAATTGGAGACCTCTATGAGCTCCGCTTAATATCAGGTGGACTGTGTACTAGTTTGTCACCTTGATTATATAAAAAAATTACTCTTAATAAACTGTGAATAATATTTTACCATAAATCGTTATTATAAATATTTGAACTAGTTTATTTTACCATTTTCAGGTGCTGTTAACAACCCTCGTGCTGCTGTCCTGGCGAAGCGGAGCCGCGGCTCTCGCGAACTGTCCCAGCGGGTGCAACTGCAACGACGACACGCTGGTCGTAGTGTGTGAAGAGAGCCGACTGGATGTGCTCCCTATCGCCCTCAACCCATCCATACAGCGACTGATCATCCGTAACAACAAAATCAAAACGATCGATAGCTCAATGCAGTTCTACGCGGAATTACAGCATTTAGATCTTTCCCATAACCGCCTCGTCAATATACCCACAAAGAGCTTTGCCTACCAGCGTAAATTGCAAGAACTGCATTTAAATAACAATAAAATATCATCTGTAACAAACACAACTTTTCAAGGGCTAAACTCCTTAACGGTACTTAACCTTAAAAGAAACTTCTTGGAGGAGCTCACCAATGATGTCTTCACTACCCTGCCAAGATTAGAAGAACTAAACTTAGGCCAGAATAGAATATCAAGAATAGAACCCAGAGCATTCTCCGGTTTGTCTGCGTTAAGAATTTTGTACTTAGACGACAATCTGCTAAGTTCTGTACCAACAACATCATTTAGTCTTTTAGGTAGTCTCGCAGAGCTGCACGTGGGCTTGAACGCATTCTCTTATTTACCTGATGATGCTTTCGCTGGCCTTAACAGGTTAACTGTTTTAGATTTGAATGGAGCTGGACTCTCAAATATTAGCGAAAATGCGTTTAGAGGTCTCCCGGGATTAAGGAGTCTTAATCTCCTAGGGAATAGATTAAGTGCCGTACCCACGCAGCAATTGTCTGGGCTAACAAGACTAGAAGAGTTGTACATAGGCCAAAATGACTTTATCGAATTAGAAAGCCATTCATTCAAAGGCCTAAAGAATCTCAAATTTTTAGACATCACTGGAGCAACTCAGTTGGAACGAGTCGAAAAGGGTGCCTTCGAAGACAACGTAAATTTAGAAACGATCATTATTGCTAACAATAAGAAGTTGTCTATCATAGAAGATTGTACACTCCTTGGTCTACCAAAACTAAAGCATGTATCTTTAAGAGATAACGCTATTGTAACCCTTAGCGAAACTGTCTTTATTGGTAAAGAACTTAAACAGTTAGATTTAAGTGACAACCCTATCTTCTGCGATTGTCAACTACGATGGCTTCAAGAACTTTTAAATGAGAAAAGTAACTTTACTCAAATTCAATGCGCCAGCCCCGATAACTTAAAGGATAAATATCTAAAGAGCCTAAATGTCGACGATTTGGGCTGCGTATTACACGACACGCGGCAACAAACAATCATTTGTGTCGTTGTCGTAGCTTGTGTGGCCACAATCGCGACCTTAGTCTTAATATTATACCGATACCGTAAGAGCATGCAAGAGAAGTTAAAAGATTACAAGTGGAACAAGGGACGTAAAAATCTTGAATATCATAAGCCAATTTCAACCGAAGAGGATTGCATAGTGCGTGGTATTCATCCTTCACAGTACCCGGCGCCACCTCCGCACACTCCCGGCCTCAGGCCTATTCCCGTGACGGAACTGTAGCTAGAGCTTTACGCCTCTCCGAGCGTTTTCTTTATGTCAGGCGGCCAGGGTTCAACACGACGGCCGCAACGCTCGGGAGGCGGCGGCACGATGCCCGCCAATGGGTTCACGTACATCGGTGTGGACGGCCGCTCCCACCAACCTCATCAACCTCTTACGCTGAACAACGGCGCACCCGCACACCACCTAAATAATGGTTCCTTACGTTCTCTACCGGATAAAAAAAATAACCGCAACGGCGTTGTCTGCCACCCTGAAAACTTCCAGAGAAATCTCGACACCCGCTATTCCAGAAAGCAGGAAAATGGGTATATGCGAAACTCAGAGACCGTAATGGGGTTTCCTCGAGATCGCGACAGAGACTACGAGCGAGAACTGCCGGACTATAGTGAACCGGAGTACTCTACTATTCATGAGGGCTACGGAAGACCGACGGATGACTATCCGCGATCCTGCAGTCATTCCAACACCTTCAATTGTTGAGTGCACGCCATGAACTATTTCAACCGTTTGTGATCTTGTAATTCTAGCAATAAATCTTCATTCCATTATGTTTTTCTATGAATGGACTCAGTTGTGATGGGATGTAGTGCTCTAGAGTGGTTAGTGACTTTAGTATTTCCAGTCTGGTGTACGTACGACCAGTGAGGACTATTCTGAATCGTATTCGGTTTTAATAAGAAAATACCTTATTTGTAAATTATAAATTTAAGTAGTGAGGGATCTATTTTTCAATAAAATGTAAGGGGGTGGGTGGTTTGAAAGTTTGACTTTCATACTGAAACGAGGTGGATTCGTGACGCAGTACAGTTATCGTGTCACAAAGCGTTTAAGTGCCTACTTACGTCACAACCGCAAAACCAACAGAGTGTTTCAAAGCAATCTGTTTTTAGTATAGTTTGCCTTCTCTGTTGTTTTATTCTCTTACGGTTCGGACGTGCGTAGTACCCTTTAATTGTATTTCGTTATATAAAACATAATAATACAACTGTCCTTCGTACAACGCAATGTGTCATAACGATTGCTGCACTCTGAACGATCTGACCAAAATCGTACAATGTACAGGCTAGTCGAAATAAGCTTAAAGGAGGTTGATGTCAGTTAGTGAGGAGCCTCCCCTATTATTATTCATCTAAATCATGTGATTTGTATTTTTTCTTCCGCAGCTGTGGAGTTATGTCTTTAATTTTGTACAAAAACCATTCCATAAGAAAACCTTTGTAATCTAACCTTTTATTTATAGATTAATAAAATTAAGTATGCATTAAATAAGACACCAATAAGAGAAAAAAATATTAGAAATTAACGAATGTAAATATATTTATATTGAGATATTTATAAAATTTATTACGATCTTGTTCTTCTCAAATTATCATAAAATTATTTCGTGTTTTTCTGACATAAGTATTATATGATTTGCGTTTTGGGCTGGCAAGCGAACCTATGAGATTTCATGGCTCGGTCGCTACCTATTATTAATATGTCCACAAAATTTCATATTAATTAGGCATGAAAGCACCACTTTCCAATCTCGTCACGTCTTGGTCACTTCGTAATGCTCAATCCCTAATATAGTATTTTTTTAAAATTATCACTTGTCGATACTTATTGGCCTTTGTCATTTAACCTTAGAGTGTACTGCTAGAGAAACCCTTATTTAAAATGTGACAAGAGATATAATATAGGTAATATAAAAGGAACTGAAAACCTGATTTCATTTGTTTTAGTAATAGCAACAATTCAAGGAAATCATATATTATAAATATGAGATTTGAAACTCGTCGTGTGCAAGTTCTTCATTGCATAGAAGGTTAACTCTAGTGGTAATTTACACTGCGATATCGACCTCATGTGTGTATTGTTTTAAACATTCTACATATAAATAAAGATTATTCGTTTCCCACATTTCATATCAGACGTGCACGGTAAGAATAGGACTAGCAAACTGATGTTAGACTTTGCAGTGCGACTTCAAATGTGGTGCTTGGAATGTGCAAAAACTGAAATTAAAAACACTTAAAAACAATTACTACTTACTATATTTCTTTATAGCCAATATTACATTGTGTGACATCCGTGTTATGGCATCCGAGATATCTATAGCAGTAACTTAATTTATCAATCATTATAATGTCGTTTCAAGTAGATAACTATAGTCCATATCTTAGCGAATTTAAAAAAAAATGTTGACAACTTAATATATTATACAATATTCAAAAACATTTTTCTTGGCTAGACATAATATTTAGGTACTAATAGTACAAAAGTGATAAGACAGTTACTAAGTTATCGAAAAATGCAACCCTATTCTTATCGTAAACGCATATTATTAAAGTTGTTAATGATTTAATATCATTCATACATTTTACCGTGTTATTTATATTTTTAATTATTGAGTTGAAAATTAAAAAAAAGGATTTGTCATATTTTTTTTATATTTTGTGTGAATTTGACCATTTTCCAATGACATATTTCAAAAACGTACATTTTCGTAAACATTTATTTTGTAAGATTTTCTATCTAAAATATTTAAAAAAAATCACATAAGCAATATTATTTCAAATTTTACGTCACAGATATTGATTTTTTTTAATTATGAGTTATGACAATTTTAATGTTATTCACTTATAAAAAAATATTCACGTTGGAAAACGGTCTAAAGTTTGATTCAAGTAATATTGTAATGCGAAAGAATGTAAGGAGATAAAGGGATATTGTGGTCTTGTAAATACGGAGAAATCAAAGACTAAAGCAAATTAAGGCATACATAGTGAATGCCTAACGAAGTATACAAATTGATGAATACATATTGGAAATTGTGATTAGTGTACTCACATTGTAATAGGGCATCGGTCATTTCTGTACTTTATTGTAGTTATTACCTACATACAAACTCGATAAATATAACATACCTCAAACTTTATCTTTTGTTTTATTTCAGATATATATATATATATATATATATATATATATATATATATATATATATATTAGATATATCTATCTTTCTTAAAAGAGTCCCGCTGTGTTTCTTGCCGTTTCTTCACAGTATAGTGTGTTCACTCAATCAATAATTTACTTTTTACCGTGTAGTGGCGGTTAAGAATATCCACTACCTCATACCTTCCCGTGGGTGTCGTAAGAGGCGACAGAGGGAAACAGGCAGGAGATGGGCAGCAGCATCTTCCTGATAACAGCAACTGTACGACAAAAAAACTGCGGTTGCCAACCCGCTCGCCAAGCGTGGCAACTATGGCAATATACCCCCCATGAATAATACACAAATATACGGCCCCCAGTCCCCGGCGGCCCCGCTATTCCTGGCTACGGTGGCGACCATAGTAACGGCGGGGCAGGGGGTGCTTAGAATGAGAAGGAGGACACGGTGATTCTCGAATCCGGCAACTTGTTCTATCACCGGGATGGCGACCATTTGTCCCAAGGAGGTGTCGGATTTATCGTCCACAAGTCTCTCGTCAACAACGTCGTAAAGATTGGGAGTGTGTCGACGAGGGTCGCGTACCTGATACTCAGAATCACCAAACGATATTCGCTGAAGGTCATACAGGTTTACGCACAAACCTCGGCACGTCCCGATGAGGAGGTGGAGGAAATGTATGAGGATATTTCCAAAGCCATGCATTCCTCCAAAACCCACTACACGGTGTTGATGGGAGACTTCAACGCAAAACTAGGCACAAGAGAAAACGGTGAGCTGAAGTTAAGGAAATTTTTAGTAGCGCAACGGAACCGAAGGGGCCAGCAGCTGGCCGACTTCATGGAGAAAGAGGGACTTTTTATGATGAACTCTTTCTTCCAGAAGCGGCCCACAGGAAGTGGACCTGGTCGAGCCCCGACAGTTCGACAAAAAATGAGATTGACTTCATTATGACGACCAGACGCCAACTGTTCAGTGATGTCTCAGTGATCGCAAGGGTGAAAACTGGCAGCGATCACCGAATGGTTAGAGGCACACTGAACCTAAACGTTAAGTTGGAGAGGTCTCGTCTAATGAAGTCAACGCTCCGTCCCCCTCGTGCTCTAATCCAAGAATCCCGAAAACTTTCAGCTCGAGTTACGTAACCGCTATCAGTGCCTACAAGATTGCAATGCAGTGGACGATATGAATGACAAGCTCGTGGAAACTATCCATCCGGTCGGAGCTAAGTTCTGCAAGACCCGCCGCAGAAGAACACAAAAACTCTCCGATCACACTCTTAATCTCATGGCTGTTAGACGGGAGATGAGGCTGCAATCGTCAACAGATTTGACAGCATACAGGCAACTGAACAGACAGATCTCCAAATGCATGCGGCGAGACTTACGCAACGTTAATACTGCTCGTATTAAAGAAGCGATCGAGCGGAACCAGGGCTCCAAATTGTTTGGCAGAGATCTGTCTGCCAGTAAGAGCCAACTGTCAAAGCTGAAGACTGAGTGTGGCAGCATCGTTTCCGGGACACCTGAGATTTTGAGTGAGATTGAGAGGTTCTATGGGCAGCTGTACACATCATCGTTGGAGCCACACGCAAGTGTGAGTAACGATCCAAGAGCAAGTCTTATCCGACACTATTCCGATGATATTCCGGACGTCAGTCTAAGCGAGATTGGAATGGCTTTCCAGCACCTTAAAAATGGCAGGGCCCCAGGCAAGGTTGGAATTACAGCGGAGCTTCTGAAAGCGGGTGGAACACCGGTACTTGAAGTCCTTCAGAAGCTCTTCAATTCCGTCCTCCATAGTGGCACTACTCCAGAGGCGTGGAGCAGAAGTGCGGTGGTCTTGTTCTTTAAGAAAGGCGACAACGCTCTCTTGAAGAACTACAGACCGATTTCCCTTCTGAGCCGCGTCTACGTGCTGTTTTCGAGAGTCATTACGAATCGTCTCGCACGCAGACTCGACGACTTCCAGCCTCCCGAACAAGCCAGTTTCCGAAAAGGCTTCAGTACCATAGACCACATACATACCCTGCGGCAGATTGTACAGAAGACTGAAGAGTACAACCTGCCACTTTGCCTGGCGTATGTGGACTATGAGAAAGCCTTTGATTCCGTCGAAATTTGGGCGGTGCTATAGTCCCTTCAGCGGTGCCAAGTTGACTGTCGGTATATCGAAGTGCTGAAGTGTTTGTACAGTAGGGCTACGATGGCTATCCGAGTACGGAACCAGAGCTCGAAACCCATCCAACTGCAGAGAGGTGTAAGACAGGATGATGTTATATACCCGAAACTCTTCACCGCTGCATTGGAAGACGTTTTCAAGCTACTGGACTGGAAAAGATACGGTATTAACATCAATGGCGAGTACATCACTCACCTTCGATTTGCCGATGATATAGTCCTTATGGCAGAATCGCTGGAGGACTTAAGCACTATGCTCAATGACCTCAATAGTGCCTCCCAACGGATAGGTCTTAAGATGAACATGGACAAAACAAAGATTATGTTTAATGTACATTTCACACCTATGCCGGTAGTTGTTGGGA